CATTGCAGCGCCCTCTTTACAAAGTATGTTCTTAATCCGCTGGGCGAGAGTCAAAGATTAATGTTACATTTTAGGTACCTGCAGGTGAATTAATCGGGGATAGATGCCTGGAGGATCATGTTTCCAACATATTTAAGACCGCTAGCCATTTCAACGCTATACTTCTTGTGGACGAAGCCGATGTCTTTTTGCATGGGCGCTCTGTCGGCGGAGTCCACGATCATTCCGTGACGGTCTTCCTCCGCAAACTTGAATATTTTGAGGGGGTTTTGTTTCTCACTACAAACCGTGTCGACGAATTTGATGATGCTATCCTCAGCAGGATCCATTATAAGCTGAAGTATGAGGCTTTGGGCCGGGAATTCCGGAGAGATGTCTGGAGGAGTTTCCTTTCAAAGTCGTGCACGCATCAGGGAAGCCCGCAGCTGTCCAGTGATGAGCTGCATAAACTGGAGGGTTTGGACCTCAGTGCCCGAGAGGTATGTGGCGGAACGCCCACCATCCATATCTCATCTCTAACCGTATATTCATCTTCAGATCAGAAACCTGGCTATGATCGTCCATGCACTCACCACTGTCAGTAAAGATCGTGTGTCTTACACCCATCTGGAGCAGGCCGCGGAATCGAACGAGGAATTCGCGCACGCATTCAATCGCACGGAGCGTCTCGAGACCATGTACAATTAGGATACCATGACCTCAGAAGTACGTAATCCGCCCCCCAGTCTTATTTGATATGAACAGGCAAGTTGCAAGGTCATCTAGTGTCTGGTTTAATTTAATCCTCCTTCTATTTAGCTACCACGTTTGTCCCATGTTCGTGGAGGCCGTTTGTGGGTGAGGAATTGATCTATTTAGTTTGCTCTGTTTTATCTCTCAGTAATTATGTCTGATGACAGTTTTATGGTTTTATAATGGAATTTTTGACGTGAATGGTTAATCTGGGAGACCATCTGGCGTTTTGCTTGACGAGATGTTAATCCGGAGTCTACCTTCTCGGCAGGCGGACTGGGACAGATTTCTATCCTCCCCGGCTCTCATGTTTGTGGGGGTCGTTCGTCAGGTATTCTACCTGTGAGAACTAATGCGCTTTGTTCATTCTTTCTTCTTCGTGTTTCTCTATCCGTAATTGTATCTGATGACAACGCTGCTTGTCATAACGCTGAATCTCGATGAGATCCGCCTCGTTTGGTTTTCTGTCGTGATTCAATAATTGATGGAAGTTAGTCCAATTTTGTAAACATCACTAGCCAAACATCAACTGGAAGCGTGGAGGGCGTACTGTAGATGTCATATGAATATCCCCTCTGTTTATAGGTCCCGATCCTGTAAACGGTGCGGTTTCTCACGATCGCTCCAAATCTGTCTCCAGGGGTCTGAGGCATATAAAGCCAGCCCTCTTCCCACTTTGCTTCCATCGCTCCATTTTCCCTTTTCTCCTCACAAAGGCCACCCAGCTTTGCAAACTACCCGGACAACTCGAACTCGTAAGATCAAGAATCAGAGACCGGCCCAGCGGTCAGCAGAGGCGGCAGTGGTTCAAGTTCTGCCACAGGTGCACAGAAACTCCCATCATCCCTATTAATAACGGATTGTAACTGACATCTGGACGCAGAAAACAACGATAGTACTGACCAAGGAACAACCATGGCCGAGAACTTGCCGCTAGGCACGGTTAATTGAGCTAGCTCCCGGCCAGCCACCTGCTCAGCCCAGCTTGACCTGAGCATGGAGAACGATCCTTAAATAATACTAGTATTTTCATTTGTGACTGTCTCGTTGACGGAATGCCAACTTCAAACACTTCCTCGACTAGCCGCTGACTTCGAGTGGACATTAGCGGCACCGCGGTGCCGGAATTGACGATGTTTTGTGTTGGATGCTTTCTTGCTGCCTGCTCAGCGACATAACTACCTGTGATTTGCTGCTGGTGAAAACTCCCTGTCAGGTAGTCTGCTATTATTGGCTCCCTGTAAGCGCCCAACGCTCAAAGTGCTTTCTCCTCCTATTAGTGCCGTACAGTCGAATGCGATAAAAGCATAGAACCCCAGCTCTCATTGAGCATGCCCCAAGATCAAAAATTTTCTCCCTCCATACCCTCCACACAAGCCAAACAACTGCTTCTTCGAACTTTCTTATGCAAAAATTCCTTACAGTATTCTCAACTCGTTGCTCATCAAGACTATTGTTAAAAATGGAAAAAATCTGGACGTGAAATATGCTACCCGGACGACTGCATGGGCCCGACTGCTTTTAGCAAAAAATGTACAGCAGGACTTTGTCAAAGCCATCGAGAAGGCGGATGTTCCTGAGGGAGCTGCCAGTGCTACCCTAGCGTGAGTGATGCACTTTTCCATTTCAGCTGATGACGATTATATAGTAACAACAAGATTAGCGAGACCGAGCACCCTAGTGAAAGTGATAGCAAGGATCACTTCACCACTGTTTACGAAGATGAAAATGGAGATCACATCACTACCAAGCACGTTTATCCTTGAGTCAAGAGCGATGTATGAAGAGCGGCCGAGTAGACGCAGCGTGGAATTTAACAGAAGACTGGATGGCTGTGTGGGGTGAATAGATGAGTTTAGCATGGCAGTTGGGTTTTTTGTTAGCGAATTAGAGGATGCTTGTCCTGAATGAAATATTAGGTCCTTTCTACATTACAACTCATTAAGATTGGAAACAACAGCGGGATTAACATCCATGAACTAGATTTTTCTTAATTTTTTTTATAGCTATGCTGCGCCTCATGGGTGGTTATTGTTGACATTGGAGTAGATATGCTATTACATGTTCCACCAGGGATCTTCCATAAGTTCTTCCATAGCAGCTCGCTTCAATGGACTGAGGTTTGTCATTCTCCAGAGAAATCTTTTTGTCTCGGAGTCAAGATTGGGGTAATCCTTCTCCTCCCACTTCTCGAAACGCCCAGGCCCGACTGGGCCTCCATCGAATGTCCCTTCTGATATAGCCATCATGATTTGACCCCAGTTCTCATTATTGACATGAGTCACAAGTTCGTCTGGGACCGGCCCAAAAAAAGATATTAATCGACCCATAATCTCCAGTTCAGGTTCGATCATGTCTCTCTTTAACTGCTCGAAATCCGGGTGCAGGGTTTCCACACCGGTGATGGTGTACAGGCACTAGTAGACAAACTATCTTCAGCAAAAACACATCAATTGAAAGCATAAGCTCACTCACCACGAGCCCATAAGAGAATACATCCGACGGTTTGCCAATCCCTTGCCCCGTTTGCGCTTCGGGGCTGCGCCACATGACATTTCCTATTTTGACTCCGTCTGGGAGCCGAAGAAGTTTGTCGCCTTTTAGCTTCAAGGAGCAGTCTAGGTCACCTAGCACAACCCTTTCCGGTGCGAGCTGACCGGCCTGATCGTAACGGTAATCAACCATAACATTATCAGGCTTGACGTCTAAATAGGGGAACTTGGTTAGTGCCTGGATCTGATGAGCAGGCTGATGCATATTACCAATATGTATCCAGTTCTTGGCATGAAACTCCTTTAACGCCTGCCCAAGTTCCCACAATATCCGTTTCCGAGGCGCAATCGACATGTTTGGGTTGTTCTTCACAAGAGAAAGCAAATTATCGCTAAAGTGGTTGTAGATAAGGATTTGTTCGACTTCATTATCATCATCATGCACTCGAAGACGACGCGTTTCTGGGAACTCTTGCTTAAGTTCCAGCGATTGTTCGAAGATCGAAGGGGATACGTGTTTTAGCACAAAGTATTGGTTTCCGCACCTAAATCTTCCAGTCAGTAACCAGATAGACTCGTGCAATTCGAGATGTATGGCTCACCGCGCAAGATAGACACTGAGATCCGGACTTTTTGGGTTGTGCTTGAGGATCTTGTCTCGAAGATACTCTCGACCAGAGCGGCCGATCAATGTCGAAGCCATTCTCACACCTCGAATACAACAAGAGCGTGCAAATAACATAACTCTAGTCATAAAACTCGCTCACTCTTCCCCACTTTCTTCCATTTCGCAGTGGATTCTTGGCCTTGGTTCTTCGTTGTTCGAACGCGTGTGCGTGTGCGGCATTGTTTAATGTATTCCTATAGGCTTGCGTCGAACTCCAGGAGTCGGCGGTCACGTGATATTGTGAACCTAACATTTAGTGCCAGAAGATCATCGGCAGGCGGGCCGAGAGCCAAACTTCGGGGCGGATTACTGAGTGCCAGATATATGCCCCATCCTCTTTTTAAAACGACTCGACTGGGACAGAAAACTTGGAAATTTTCACCTCATATCATTTTTACGAACCTTTTGTTGAGCTGCTGTAAGGAATTTCAGCGTGTCAACAATAAATTACATTCTGATGAAAGCTTTGGTTCACAAATTGCCAGCAGCCGTAAACTGGCATAGTTCAGAATCTTTTATATATTTAATTTCTTGCTAGACATGGTATCTGGCATTTCCTCCGGCTAATGGAGTTGGGACATGTGGATTGTTTTGCGATGGGTATGCAGAACTATTGTGATTTTTACGTTTACTTTATCACCAAGCACGGAGGGGTTAATCGAGCAAAGAAGGCAGATATGTAGCTGCACCAAGATAACACAATAAAGTCCGACTCTGCCATCTCCTCAAGTTGCCTATCTAACTGCAGCCCAAGCGGGTTGCATGGTTCTCTTCACCTTACATGGTGTTGATGGCTGCTCATTTTGCCAACCCTCCACCGAAGTTCCTGTTGATAAAGCCGAAGAGCAATCAGTTGATCAATATACGTTTGAAACGGACCTCGAAAACGAAGTTCCTGTAGCCAAAGGCGAAGAACCATTTATTCAGGAGGTAAAACTCATCCGCGTTCAAGTAGCCGGGTTGGTGACAGAAGCCCCCTTCATTCTCACTCTTGTTGTCTTATGTTATGATCTTCTACACTATTCCTAGATATTGGAAGACTGTAAAATGAAAGAGTAGATTGTTTTGACATGTGATCTGCCCCCACCTCGAATAGCGGGCGAGAATTGGCCGAAACCTTGGAAGAGGAGGTGTATGTATGTAAATACAGACAAAACCAGGCGATTGATACCTTAAGGAGAGACACCCCCTAACCCCACACCACCCCCGCCCTCCAAAACAAAGAACTGGGACCAATAGGAAGCGCCACTATACATCCGGATCAGCACGGTGATCACACCTACAGTACACCCAGCGACAAGACGGAATAATGCTTTTTTCTCGTTTCGAGGGGCAAGAGATTAAATATCTAGAATCCTCCCAGGAGCGATATAGGATTGAAACCAACCGTCAGAAGTACAGTAATGTTAGAATTCCTTTACATGCAACATTATCTGTGCTCTTCCTTCGAAGCAGCTCCAAGGTATGAGTTCCCCAACTTATATGCAATTTTGAATTCGGGCTCACGAAGTGCGATAGATATAGAAACCTACGTGCTCTCAAGATCAGAGGCTCTAACATTATGTGGTAAGCAATATGTACATCTAACCTGCCGCTTATATCTTGCAATTCAGAAACTGAACGAGATACCGTCATAGCTCAGCCACCGACACTTTACTCGGCACTCAAGTCGCAATCAAGAAAATACACCATCCGTTCACCCGCTCCGAGCTGTGCCAAAGAGCCTATCTAGAATTGAAGCTGTTGAAGCTTCTCAAGCACGAAAATGTCCGTCCGGTTTAACCTCCTCGCCTCACTACAAGAAAGTAGATTGCACTTCATACAAGGACTGCTTGCTGACATGTGTCCTCGTCCTCCCTATAGATTGCTGGCTTGCAAGATGCATTCATATCATTCGGCGAGAATTTGTAGGTATCTTGGCCCCCTTTCTACCTCGACTTTCATCTCCAGCTCACTAAGAATCTACAGGTACCTCAGAACAGAGCACCAAGGCACGACGCTTGATCAATATCTTGCATCCAACATGCCTGAACCGCGATGTACTAAAGTATTCTTTTACCAACTTTTGGTATGTACTCGGCTTCCAGTTCCCTGGTGATATGATTCGCCAATCGATTAACTGTGTTGTTAATTCGCCAAACCAATCGAAGCGAGGGTTGAAATACCTTCACTCCTCAAATATAGTGCACTGCGATTTTAAACCGTCCAGTATCCTTATTACCGGGAGCTGCGACCTTCAAATAACCGGCCTGGACCACTCCTGTATTCGTGGTGAGAGAGTTATGATAAATTATGTTTACGGCAACAGAGATCAAAGTTATCAGGCCCCGGAACTCATGTTGGGTGCACAGGCTTATCAACCTGCCATCGACATGTGGGCGGCGGGGTGTGTCTCCGGCGCAGAAGCACTGAACTGCGTAAATTACTCAACTCATCGCTTCCGTAAGGCGATGATCGGCATGAAAGCGATTCATAGTGCCCTAATCCACCACAATGATATCTATCCCAAAAACATCCTAATTGTTCCCAGTACCCCGGAAAGGGTGGTATGGATAGATTTTGACGTCGCAACAACGTTTCCTCATCGTGAATCAATGGGTTGCCAAGAATTAAAATACTGCGATTATGAGGATGCGCTTGTTGCAAGCTTTGGGGAGCTTTTGGTTAGTTAAATCTTGCTACCGTACAGAAGAGAATCTAACAAGGTTATTAGCAAGACGATCAAAACCAGGGTCTTCCTCCCAACACAAAATACTACTAGGCAAACTATCACCCCTTCTCAACATACAATTGGGACCTCCACTTTTCACCTGTGACTGCCTCGAAGGTGGGCCTCTGCGACGGCAGATACAGAAAGGCTATGCGGCATGGGCAGTGAGGCTTTCAGATGCAGGATTGAAGGAGTTAAGTGGTCGGCACCCATATCTGCGGACGACTACTCATCGCGGAGGAAATCGTGTGAGGATTTAGTCAGGTGTGGAATCCCGAAGGCTCTGACTTTGCGGAATCCCTGACAACTTGAATTAGGGACGGGCACGGGAAGCTAGAGCAGGTGTGCGCAGTGTCTTTATGTTTAGTAACGGGTGGCCGCTACCTAACGCATGGGACCTCTTCCCTCCGCCGGACATAATCAAAGACCAGCTTGAATTTGAGCAAGGGAGATAGCAATTCCAACCCTCAGCCGGACATTTTCACATAGAGATCAGGAGCCTATAGGGCGCCGTCAAAGGCGCGGTTTACGTTTTAGCAGCAGCATGTTCCTGTAATGATTATACTTGTTTCATCTCATCTTTGTATTTGATAAATGGCTAATGATACTCCATTGTTGCCCTTCTGTACAAATGATATGAGGCATCTTTCCTCACTTGCTATGTATATATTCTATTCCTCATTGTAGAAGTGTGAAAACCACTGCGCATAGGTTTGACACCGCCATCAAATTACAAGGGCCACGATGCGCCCACGATGCGCCATGAGAAGTGGATCAAATTTCCTTTCTTTGCCGCACGCCATCAGCCTCTTCCAATACAGATGTAAAACTAGAGCCTTGAATATCAACGCCTCTGATACCTTGCGAAAGTCTAGTTGATTCTGAGAAACTCAGCTCCGATTGATGTAATACTTCAGGTTGCTGTGATATTTGTGACGCCTGCGACACCTCAAAATTTACCTGTGGCAGTTCATCAATAGCGGAGCATATTTTCTTAAAATGGGAAGGTGCCCAGTCATTGTACACACTCATAGAGAATTTGTAGGATGTCCATTTCTCTTTGCCATCAAGTGAGGTGAAGTCGAACTTGTGAATGGCATGTCGGTAGTATGTAGTCTTCTCTCCCTCGATCATAGGGTAGTGGCCATAGATTCTCACAGAACAGTGATCATGTGAAATTGAAAAGGCCAGGATCTGTCGATGTAGCTCCTTTTCACGCTTCACGGCCCTGAAGAGTTTGACAACTCCTCTTATTGAGAGAGCCATACAGAGAAGGAATGTCGGGGAAACCCGACCGCATAATCGGGCTGTGGCCGAGATAATCGAAATTGTCGAGATTGTGGAAGATGTGGAGTTTGAGCAGGTGGTGGCAATCGTTGATCCTCATCTAGAGCAATCGAGCTATCCCAGCCTTCATTAACACTAACAACCAAATGCGGAAATGTGACATGGCTGAGGTCGATTGCACTCTCGGGTTGCATGGGCTGCAGGCCAGGAAAACTGTGGAAAGCGGCGGCGACGACATTAGGAATGCGCTTCCCGTGTCGTCCCGTTGCACGAGCGTAGAATAACGCAGCCATGCGCAAAAAGGGCGACTGATTGAGTGATATCATCAGCTCCACTGCAAGGGTTATCCCGGATAGCGTCTGCCCATCAGGCTCGTTACCTGGTAGCGCTGTAATTGGTGGGTTTCCAGCAGCTATTCCAGGCACCTGTTGGTTTGAGGAACTGTTTGAGCTTTATTGTATTTTACCACCATCATCATCATCATTTTTGATCCAGCGGGGAGAATGATATCCCCCAAGCAGGAAGCCTTCCTACACCGGGCAGCGGGCAGCAGCCTTTCTTAAGTCAAAAACGTCCTAAGCTAAAAAAAGATGAAGCATTGACGTCAGTATGACATATGAGAGAGCTCTCAACGAAAAATGACAATCCTTTAATCTTCTCCAGCCGCAATACTCCAAATCTTCTTCCAAAGTCCCACAGACTGGTGTCCGAACTACTGTCTGTCCTGCGACCGGCAGACCGATGGTGATGAACTTCTGTTCCCAAAATTGTCGACTGATTGAATTGGAAAGCGGTTCCTCTCTTCCTCAGTTCCAGTCTAGGCTAGCCCCCACATCTGGAACATTCCACCACAGCAAGCCTCTATTATCCGCCCAAACACAATCCGAGCTCAGAGACTATACGAGTTCTTTCGACCAGATTCGAAACACAGGAAAACGCCCGAGTGCACAATTTCTTCCCATGGCGGGCCAGATGCGTCCTGATATCTCATAGCTCATACTATAAACCTCGAGCGAAAATATGTGAACGGCGTTCCTGTTGTGGTGCAAACTGCTAGGCTCAACTTTGGAGCTTCGAAAGATTCTTCATATGCTTCCTTTTCGCACTGCCCTTCTTGAACAATACCTATTGGCACCACAGGTGGGGAAATTCTCCGTTAGGGATGCCCCACACTAAACCATTACTGTGCTAGGCTGGGTCGCGAATACCAATTGTGGTGGCCAACCAACAATAGACCACTCCACCAAATGTCCGTGCGCACTGGAGGTGGTACAGAGGAAGCAGGGCTTGTCCACCAGATATGGTTGATCGCATCGATACCAGCTGGTAGCAAGAGCATGAGCATTGGGCTTTGGGACCGACTAAATTTTCCGGTGAGTTACGCAGTCAAGGAATCAACCTGATTGAAAAGTTAATTTCCTGATTACCATCATACTTTAGATGTGAATTCAATACGTCAGCGTTGTTTTTCTTTTTCCTTCTGTACTCTGACCCTCACCTTGATAGATTCCATCTGTCTCTGACAAGTTTTACAATGTGTTGTCTTCTCCAACTTTTGTTTATCAGTGAAGGCCCCCGATTTTTCTCCCCTGTTCAAGAGACGGTATCCAGAAAATCGAATCTAGCTGTTTCTTCGGGATCCAGTTGTGTGGAATGGCTGTTTGAATCTGGTATCACAGCTCCTGTGACGGGAATGACGACACCCGACAATAATAATAGTAAAGACCCGTCTTTCATCTCATCCTCACTCCCAGTATCAGATACTGAAATCGACCGATATCCCAGGGCCAAGCGTCCATGCCTGGCCAGTCGGAGACCCAGTGCTTCCATCCTTGTCCCCCGCGATCACCCAGAAATCGAGATTCAAGAGGAGGAATTTCCTCCAGATGATGCTCGGGCAATGAGCCCGAGAAGAAATCCCGCTGACGTGGAGAGGCTATGCAGAGAGATTCAAGAAGTTATTCAACAGTGAGCATTCCCTTTGCTGTTTATCCCTGGTTGTTTCGCAGATCATTTTATCTCTTGTTCTTCTCTCTGCGGTCTTCCCTCCACCCGGCCAACATGAAAAAAATAAAAAAAAGAGGATTAACTGCTCACAGGGTTGATAACCGCAGACGAGCAGATACTTTCCAATCGTCGTTGCAGGCCTTGGCGGAACACATCGATGAGGTCAAGTCAGAGCATGACAAACTAGAAAACGAGAGTTGATTTCTACAAGGATACATTGGAGGCCTCACCCGAGCCATGTCGCTAACCGCTCGGGTAAGGAAAACAGATGGAAAATAGCCGGCCGCAGGAACTGACCATGGAGCAGTCGAGGTCGAGCAACCGGCAGCCCCACATCCAGGAGCTCATCCAGAAACGGGATTTCCTCAGCAAACGCCTTGGGTTCAAAGAAAGCTCAAGGGAACCGTCCAGTGTGAACTTCACAAGAAGATCACCCGCTGCAAGACGAACGAGGGAGCCGCCCAAGACTGCCGCCGGCCAGATATACTGTAGCCCCTCAAAAATTTCCTGCACGCCACGTAGGAGTGTGTGTTTGCCGCTGGCGTGCGCCCGCCAGGTCTCGGTTCAGAACCATCAACCACAACTGGCGGCACCTCCTGAGCCATTTTGGTTTCTTTGGGGGTAGGAACTGTCGTGATCTCTCACTTCTTCGAGGACTTGGATATAACAACTCTTGTTCAGTCCCGTTTTCTCTTTGCTCTTTGTGGCCGAGGAAATATTTTGTGGTTGAGATTGGTCACTTGTTTTGGATTCTGTGATCCCATGCCGGGCTAGCATCGTTTCCGACATATGTAGAGAATAAGAGATGGGAGAAGGGTGGGTGCAAGGCCTCTCTTTATGGAGTCTAGCAAGAGACAGAACATGGTACAGACAGTCATGGCCATTCTTATAGCAACGGAGCCCAGGATGCCAGTAGTAGGGGCAGGCAAAATATTTACATCTGTGATTGGTTGCTATACCTTTCTATGCTTCATTTCACCTTGATTCTATGTATTAACCTAAAAAGGAGGTCAGTGAAGAGTTGTCCGTGCCATCCTCGTCTGGCCGATCGTGAGCTTCATCATCCAGCAAAGAGCATGAACTGCAGACATGGGAGGTACAAATGACTAAAGGGCGGAGATTTGGCCTGCAGACCAAGTGACGCCCTCCTGCGATTTCCGCAGAGAATAACTGAGAGGTTCAAGATCGCGAGATGGGCTCTAACGATGTGGGCTTGTGGCGTGGATATTCGCCAGCATTTTGGATAGGTTTAGAGTACCGGATGAGCTGGGTTTCGACCGTCGTACCTGGTATACGACACCTCATCTAACAAGCCCCTCCATGATTCAAAAAGATATTTGACTGCGCCCTGCTCCTTGCAATGATAGAACTAAAGAGGTAAGTCAAAGGCTTCGCATGCATAATTCAGAGAAAAGACCATTTCCATGCTAATCAGTTCGGGATAGTTGCAGCAAAAAGAAAGACACGTGCTATCTATCAACCATGTCGACACCACTCCCATTACCCCCCTCCATCCTGAATAACGTGCGAGAACTACACGAAATATCAGAAATCTAGAGGGGGAAGTTGGGAAGCAAGGGAAACTTGAGAGTAAGTGTGAATAGATGAAATATTTGTTTGTTGTAAATTACAATGAATTCAGTAGTGTACAGTATTGTAAAAATTCTCATATCTTTTGAATGATCAGCATGACCGCATTTAACAGAAAAATGAACCCCATGGTTTTGAGGTATGCTTTCGATCGCGGGGCTGAAAACGCGGGCATCTTGCACAGGACGTTCGTTGGAAATATCCAGGGAGGCCCGTGCCAAGAGGACGATTACCAAAGTTCAGCCTAGTGTTTCCAGCTGCGGTTTATATATTTTCCCTTTGGTTCGAGGACCTAACAAAGCACGCAGCCTTCGCTGGAGTTCCTCAAGTTTCTTTGGCTGTGTATTGTACCCTTTCTCTCTCTGCTACTCTGTTAGAAAAGAAGAAGAATAGTTCTAAGAATAGCTATTTTTTCAAATTCTAGATGATGACTAATACTCCAGCAGCAAATGCTGCCTCAGCTATTCATCTCATGAGGTTGAAGTTGCACTTCTCTAACTGGTGTTCCTTAACCGCGCTATATCATGTGATTTAGTGTCTCAGGAAATGGTGTGTCTCAAAAAGCGGTGAAATACGTTACGGAAACATGTTAGTCAGCATAGATTAGACCGACCTTGTACCGTTGGTCTCCTCCATAGGTACAAACCTTAGTGGGTTCTGTGGCAGGCAAACCAGTACACTTTCCAATCTATGCCGGCTGTTACATTATATATGCTGGTATATCTCCCTCCAGGTCTCCCTCCAGGTAAACAATTAAATATCGGCCAGTCGCTGGTCGTCAGTCCAGTCCTCCATTGGGGTTAAAAGGCAGAAGGCAAGAAGTCAGCCAGCTCATTCTGAGACCCATAAAATTTCCCCATAAGATAATCTCTCAAACTCATCGATGGAGCAACCGCGGTTTCCACTACGGGCTAAGTGGCCCATTCCTGTGTCTGTTGGGTCACTGTAAGGGCAGCATGATCGTCCACTTTGGCAGCTACATGTTAGGCTTTTTTTTTAAGCCGGCCCGATTACTCATAAATCAAACTCTACTAGTCATCATTTCATAATAATATAACTAGGCGCAATCTATGATTGATAATCGTCGCGCCATAACGGGGTAAATACCCAAAAATAGCACGCGCAAAGCAGGAAGAAAGCACATACTCTCCCCATCTGATGCCAGTGCCCCATTGGCAACTATGATGAATATAATTCCACAAACTCTCCTTGCTCGCCCGTAGCCCCGAAACATCGGCCTCCGAGAGCTCACTGGTCAACATGGATTTTCTGCGAAATGGCTGTGAAGACAGCAAACGATGATATTGAAGGGCGCAGTACAAGGGTTGGCAAGTTCTTTATGCAAGGATTATACAGTGCGGGGACAAGTTGTAGATGGAGATACGACACATGGTTGCTAAGGCATATGTAAGTACGGAGTAGCTGCAAACCAGATATCAACTTAATTGCGGTTATGAGGTTTGCTCATAATCGATAGCCCTCAGCCCGGTGGTGTATCCTGGAAGTCGGCATTCATCAAGTCAACGGCGCTCATGAAAGGTTGTTTTTGGAATGCTGACCCAATTTAAATGCCGCGCACAATGCCCTTCAACTTCAATTACTGCTTGCTTATTACTAGTATCTCTCACCTGTGACAATAAAAAGATTCGCAATGGTGATGCCTTTGCATTCTGGCGGGGAAGATGCGGGGTGGGATTAGATAAGATCGAGCCTGGAATAATTATACACACGGACCCAGACCTAAATCCACGCACCGGCGCAGAGGATCAATTATTGTCATTCCACCAGGAGATGAAGGGCCCAGAGCCGGTAGCATCTCCTTTCATCCAAAACACAGCTTATTTCGCATAGAGGAAATGAAGTCAAAAAGAACATAAAATTATCGACCAACTATTGTCGAATAGGAAAGTGTCCAAAGATTCGAGTATTGGAGTATTTTGGACAGAGCCACGGCCATCTCTGGTAAAAGGCAAGAAATGGATTCTGAGCTAGCCTGTTCCACTCCATGTAGTTGCGGGGTTGGAGTGTCTTATAACCTAGGTGGTATTATATAAGCAGCCTATGGCCGTGAGTTCGAACCCGAGATGTGTGATAGAGATGTAAACCGCGATTCATATTACTTTCCATATTTTGTTTTCGTTTGATTTGTGTAATA